ATAGCCTTAAATGAAATCCATAAATTAGAAAAGTTGTTCAGGATCTTATAAATCTATTTATTTCAGCATTTTTGGTTCCCACTCTAAATTACAGAATTAGCCACAAAGTGAGAAATAAGTATGAATGGGAGAGAAAGGCAATTGTTAAAAAAAAAATCATACTCTTAACAGCAAAATAAAGTGTTATACAGCAAAAAAACACCCAAAACATTGGCAGAAGAAAACTGTGGGTGGCTGATTAGCAAAAAACTAAAGGAAAATTAAAGCACCAAATAGTAGCCTGCAGAGGATGGATAAGAGCAATAGATATGTAGGTGAAGAAGACAACAACAAGGAAGAGAGGAAGAGGAAGGCGAGCATCTGGAGAAAAGAAACAGCTCACTGCAAGCACCGTCAGGCAGCAGAAGTTACTTGGTGGGAGTGAGCAGAGGAAGGACTCAGGGGACCTTGGGAAAGTCCTCCACCCCCAGTGAAGGGAAGCAACACACTGGATTGCCAAGGAAAGGAAAGGAAAGGGCGAGGCAGGCAAGGACAGAGGATCTCAGACTGCTGCTCCTCTCTGGGTCATTTTTGTAAGATCAAAGAATGGCTGTGTTCTGGGAGGACCAGAAGGCCTTTGATGTAATGGTAGTTTTGGCAAGACACTACAGAAGCAAACCAAGGGGGGAAGAAAGTATTAACCCTTAGATTCAGGATTTCCTAAACACTCATGTTAACTTAACACTGCCAAGTCCACCACTAAACCATGTCCCCAAGCACCTTGTCTACCCATCTTTTAAATACCTACAGAGCATGACAATCATGAAATAATCTCAAGAGCTACCAGCAAGATTTACTTATTGATGGAAGGCATATTGAGAGACACAGAGAGAGCGCATCCTAAAATGGATGGTGTCAGGCAGTTGCATAATCTCTCTGTGAAATGCATTGGGCATTGTCACCCTTCCGATTCTTCTTTTAAAATGGGTGATAAATCAGAAAACTTATAAAAATTTGAGCCTGCTACTACAATAGAAGAATCTAATAGCTTTTACACTGTTGAGAGTGTGCAGCTAGAATTTTTTTTAAGGTTTTCAAAACCTTACTTTCATGAACACAAAATAAGAGTTATAACAAAATACATAAATGTTCATACTAAAAAGGTAATTCATATTAAATTACAATTTTGCAGAATACTTACAGTATTACTGGAGTTAACCTAGATTTATGATATTGTATCAAAAATTTGAATCATGTCCAGAAAAGTCTGATCCAAGTATTCGGGGTTCTCCATTGAAAGCAACAAGCTGTCTAATTGATCAAAGGATATAGAATACATATGTTCACTGGAATAGCTTCATAATGAGGTTGATTTCAAATTAAATTTCCCAGGCTTTTGTATCAGACTAGTACTACTAAGGCAAAGGAACCTGACTTGCAGGTTATGCTCACAAAGAACATGATGTAGTTTACAGAAACTCACTAAAGTCACAAGCACGTCATAGTAGCAGCATGCACCTACAAAATGCACCCTGACCTCTTTATGAGAATTAGATACACTTCCCATTGTAGCTACATCTGAGAATACAATACGATTTTTTTTCCCCCAAGAAAGTCATACACCTTTGTCTATAAATAATATGGAGCAAAACCCTGAATGTAAGAACTAAGCTACACTCAAAAATAAACTAAATCACCATATTTAAAGGTAAATGGTATTCATTCTGGCAAAACATCAGACTACATAATTGATTGCTACAGTGATCAGGAAAATTACTTGTTATTAGCTATGTAATAATTAAATTCACTTTATTAAACAGTATAAACCAAAAAAGAGCCAAACAAAACACATAATCTCTAGGTACTCAAAACCTCAGTTTTGTCTGTACTTGTTACTCCCCTGGCACTTTTCAGGAGCTGAAGGATTATTCAGAATACACCTTGGTTCTTCAGCTCCTTTTATATCCACCAGTGAGTCTGTCTAAGAAACCCTGTTCTCCCTTCTTACCTTCCAGCTTTTGCTCCTGTCCTGTGCACCCTGCTGGAGCAAGAAGTGGTGTACCTATCTGCTGAATCATGCTGTAGAACTGATCTGATTGAAGAGAAAGAGCCAAAAAATCCAAAAGCTTCATGTGACGGGTACTATTTGTTCTCAAGTTCCTTAAGAGAGTGACCAGATCAGGTGTCATGTCCTGGAGGATAGCAATACAGCACTTTCCTTGGGAACCAAGTGAGTTGGCTAAGGAAAAAGAAGATCCAAGAAACTCTTGGGTATAGTGGACAGCTTGAGTCATGGGTAGGAGATGGTGCTTCCAGCTCAAACAACCTGCTGAGAGGAGAAGGAGCTCACATGGCTCAGAGATGATGCAAGGGACTCCCCTAGTTAGCTGCAGGTCACAAAATCACTGAGTTAGATTAAGCTAGGCCTGGGAGGTTTACTCACCCAGAGCTCTGAAAAGAATCTGCTAGGTTCCTGTCACATTCCTTTCCCAATTTTTTTGGCCTAAGTAGCTGAGTTCATCACATGGCTACCACAACAATTTTACTGCCAAATGCAGGAAGCAGAAATGAGTAGATTGCAGAGAAAGGGAGGAGAGTGGGCTGCCAAATGTACCTCAAAATACATACATGTACACAGTTTTCATGTCATGGTGTAAAACAGAGCTTTTTATGGTTAAAATCTTAATCTAGAGATTTTAAAAATGTATTTACCGTTAGAGGTACATGTCTTTTATGTTGCTTAAAAAGGTATGTACAGAGTAGAAACAATTTTAAAAGTGGCTTCACACTTGTGGTAAATCTCAGACAGTTCTGCACTAAACTTCATCTATTCCTGTGCAGGGCAATTTCTTCCCAGTATTAGGCAGAATAAGAATGTCGTAGAAGAAAATGCAGATGAGATTCCTAACCCAGCTATCCCATGGTCTCACAGTTTAAAAGCAGCTCTGGAGAACTGATGTTTTCCTATACATTTTTTTAGAGCTTGTGTACTCATTATAAAAGCTGCATAGATATACAGCTATGTAGACAAACACACTATAAATGTATGGATTCTTAAGGATCCCTTAAACGGCAAGCCTTACTCATTCTTTTGCTCAAGGGCTTTTCTATCATAGCTCATCCTGATGCTTTCAGACCACCTAGGTGTTATTCTGTGTATATTTTCTTTTTAAGATCAGTGAAGGGGGGCGGAGGGGAGGAGGGAGAGAGCACTATCATCCTCAGAACTGATGCAGAGCTTTAAAGGTCAAAAATACTAAGTATTTTAAGGTATTCAGTATCAGCAATCCAACATCCGACTTTTCAGTATACTTAGCAATATATATAGCTGGAGCTCCCACTGAATTTAGCTATTACTAAAACTTTGCATTTCTGAAAATCAGGTCTCAAAAGTCAGTCAGATACACAGAAAATGAGGAACACAAAGTAATTAACAGTCTGTGAAAAATTTAGTTTAACTGATTTGCCTGACATCAGAGAGGAACTTCATGGCAAAAGTAGAATGAGTGGCTTTGGGAGCGTTCAACAGCCTTAGTGATGACCACACTTTTCCTGCCTGCAATCTCAGAGCTTAACATCATATATCTTCCAATATCAGCACCTGCATTCAGGTGTTACCTCCCAACTTGCATTATGAAAGAAAACTGTATTTTACTGATGACAATAATCCTCTGCCTCTTCCTCTTCTATCTGAACAACAACTAAGAAATCTTCCCTCTTAAAGTAGAAGAGATTAAAAGTATAGAAAGTAGAAAGGCTCCAGAAGATATAGAAACAAACATTCTCACAAATTTGAATTTGCATGACATTGTGCTATTTGAGAGCAATTACCCTCTGCCTGTGTCAAAATGGCCTTGGGAGCAAGAAGGATAAGGAATTTGCAAGGCAGTTTAACTCATGGTTTGTGAGAAATGGATGGCAGTGGATATATGCCTGACTGGTTGTATGTAAGCAAACCATGAATAAGAGATGCTCCTGAACAGAACTAATGTCCTGGCAACATTTTACACTCACACACCACTATGCGAAGTGCCAGGACACTGAATTTGAGCATTCAGTCCCTACTCCCGCAAAGCAGGTGATTTAACACTGCGCTCTGATTTACAAACAGCCTTTTATGTGTGAATGCAAGCTTTTTTAACATATTGAATATATTTTAAATCAGAAGCTATTTGCAGAGATGCACGGACAATCAAGGAGGATAAAACAATAATTTGCACAAGCAAATTTTAAAAGTTTATATTTGCAGCCTTAATAATGTCTCAGTACTGGTTTCTTCAGATGAAATTTTCTGGATTTCCAATGAAAAAAACCCACAGGGCCTGATACATACTATTGTGTCATGTTTTATTGGGCATTCCTACATAAGAAGAAAGAAGCATGGTTCAGAAATGCTGGGGCAAGCCGAGGCCCATCCCAGCTATTCCACCTGATAGACTTACTGGCCTGGAACATCTCCATAATCCAGCTGCATGTACATGCATGAAGACTTTTGCCCCTCCAACTTAATATCTTATTAAACCATATTAATTAATCATTGGATGGTATTCCTTCATGTTTTTAGTTGCAGTGTTGATGTGGGCATATGAACTGAGTCTGTCTGCACCTCCCAGTGCAAACATGTAAAAAGCACACGTAACAGTCACTGAAATTATTAGATCTATCACATAGACCTCGACCATTAGAAGTGCTAGCAGTAGAAAAATAACATCCTTTGTATGGCTCAAATCTGTGACATTTCTCTTCCCAGGGATGGGATGAGATGAGGGTTGAACTATACAGGAAAAACTACATTACACCGTATTTCATATAACCGGTGCTCAAATAATGTAGTAAAAACCTACACAGAAAGGTACAGCGTAAAATTATCACATTTTCTTTTAAATGTAAAATGACAGTTAAAAACCCAGAATTGCAACCTGTTTTTTAAAATGCATAAAGATAGCATTTTTTTTCATAATTTATAAAAATTATCAGCAATGTCATTGTGATTGCTTTGGAAATTAATTTAAGAAACTTACCACTTCTAAGGCCATAATACGTTCCTAAAAAATAAAGTACAAGATGCCATTAGAAAATAAAGAATATAAATGCAACATAAGTTGAACAATGATCAAAAGGATTCATTCTGGTTTTTTGCTGGTCGTACATATGGTATTTTGTAAAAATCTCACTGATTAGGAACTGCTGTACTTAATTGGACCTCTGACCCATTTATCATATAATGTCACTTAGAAATTTGTTCCAAAGAAAGGAAGTCCACAGAAACAAGTTGAGAAATTATTTGAAAAAATTTATTCCATGATACAATTTTTTTTCAAGTAGTACCATTAGATTTTTCAATATTGTTGATTTTACTCTTATGTATCCCAAAGATTGTTTTCTTTTTTTGATCATCTGTGACTGTACAACTAGCATGTTTTGGAGTTCATGTCATGTTAGCATCTGGTTTAGTTTTCTTTTAGGCATTTCCTTAGAAAAGTGAAAAGCAAATTCCATATCATTATTTTGTTATCCAGAAATAGCTCTGAAGAATGTTTTCTTAATAACAAGATGATGTTAGTCCAAATCTAACGTCAGACAAAAATAAAATGCAAATAAAATAAGGTTGTGTCAGTTTTAATCTAGCACAAAATATAGAGAACCCAGAATTTATAAATTTGCTGTATACATTTTAACATTCCATTCCCTTTTAAAAGTATCTTTAAGAAAAATATTAAGCTAATAGAACCAGGATCATGTACTCTGGCACTATGTCCTGACTAGGTATATTTTAAGTAATCTGAGAAAACACACATTCAAGTGTTAAGTGAACCCACATTTAGAGTACCTGGCTGGCTGGCCATTAAGACATTACAAGAACTTTCACCTTGCTCATATTGCCTTTCTGAAAGTATGAGAGAGGATTTTTTTTTTTTCCTTTCTGTGTGGATTAGGCTAAGAAACCTTATACTTTGTCTTGTTCTATCCCTCCTTAACAGGTAAAAAAAGATTGTAATAATCTGGATTTATTCCCACAGCATCCAAAGACAGTTAGACAAGTCTGAACTGTCCTCACTATTTTGGAAGCAACAGGTGCAACAAAAATTTCTTAGACCAATGGAAGAATTTGGGAGCCAGAAACAGTTCTTGCCATTTGCAAGAATGTGAAAGTATTTTTCTTTTTTTTTAAGACTACGTGGAAATGAGTTACTCTAGAGTTATTACTGTCTTAAAAAACTTTAAAATAATGATTATATTTACTAACTGAACAGGTGTACATGTTTGTCTAAAACCAGTATCTACATATTGTGTATTTACATATTTGTGTAAAGCCAGTGCCCTTTGGATTACTAAAGGGCTAACTTCTATTCATATAATCTTCTGACAAAAAGACAGATTTCACCCTAGTGAAATGTTTAAATCTCATTCACTGAATGTTGTTTGGGGTGCAAATGATGTTAGTTTTCATCAGCCGCTTACAATAGTTGCATCTTTGATTACAATTCTAAACCATACACAGAAAGTGAGACAATGTACTGTAGGAAAAATAACTGTATCAAGTGAGGCTGAAAAAAAATAAATAAAATAGCATCTGTAAAAGACTAATTAGTTTTGAAGATGTACAAAAAAACAAGCAAGACTGTTCAGGAAAGTATGTACACGGAAATATCTAAAATGAAAACAGGAATGCACACATAAACAAGTTTGATGGCCATCTAGTTCACTATCAAAATATAACTGTTTAAAAAAATGCTAACATTTTGCCAATAGTGGATGCCACTAAACTGGCTGATGTTGGAATGGCATACACAGTGGTTCAAAACTTCCTGTGCATAAAAACAAGGATAAATAATAAAACAAACATACAGAGAGAAAAAATACACATCTCATCACTTTCAGTTACAGGACTCTTTCAAAGTAGTGGGTTTTAAAAAAAATAGACAAAAATATAAACTTTTTTTTTTTTAAACAAAATGGAGGATGAACTTATCCCTAAGAGCTGGGAATCAAAAAACTCAGATATAAATCTATAGGAAATCTGAGACGAGTCACCTATGTTTTAGTTTCTTATCAGTAAAACTAGGACAATATGAGGCTCTAGAATACTTTGACTGATCTATTAAGAACTGTTTGCTCAGTGCCCATCACAATACACGGTATTTGGGGTTTCCAACTACAATGTCACATAAGCAAAAGTTTGCTGAATTTCACTAAAATTTTTTCTCAGAAAAGGTGGTGTATTAAATACTGAAGTCTTTCTTGGAAGTAGGTCTGAGTTACAGACTATCTCAATACATCAGAACAAACTTATGATATAAAATATTATGTGAAAACTCAAAAATATTTATTTTTACATGCTTGTTCCTCCACAGAATTGCAGTGCCTGTTACAAATACTCATATTTATTTAAAGATTCTGAAACAAATCCCAAAATCTTTACTCTAAAAAAGATATTCAGATTCAGATATAAATGTCTTCAGCTAAAAAGGACTACTTCAAAAAAACCCAAAAGTCTTAGAGTGAGTGTATCAGTAGGATGATTCCAACGGTAGAATAAATAGTGTTTTCTAAATGAGTTGTGTATTAAATAAGGCACATGATCTAGCTGCCAAATTCTAAAAACTGAATAAACTCTTACAATCTCAGCAGATAATTTTCTGAAGACTAGCATGCAACCTATTAGGAAATTTACCATGCATAATTTGTACACTATGAATCTATTTATATTTTCAAATTTAGATTCTGTATTTTATATATTTTTTTTAATTTCTATTAGCATGTCACTGATTCCAAAGCAAATTAAAATGGCTCACAAATGTTTTCCCAGAGAACATCCATGCAGTTGAATACTGAAATTATCATGCATAGCATATGCTAGTCATGAATGCAGTCTTTTGTACTATGGAACAGCTTTCACAAAAAGGAAGGTGAAAACCTTATAATCAGAGCCTTTTTTCTTCCAATGAACTAAGAAAAGAAGTGAGGTTATATTCTTGGAGTGGCTACCAGAGAGAATGTAGAAAGTGACCTAGACTCCTCACAAGCCAAAAAATGTGTTATGATGGGTATGAGTGCACATGTAACATCTGAGAGCAAGCATATGTGTAATGAGAACACAGGTATTATCTAGAACATATATAAACCCTCACATATAACTGTATAAACTCATATAGAATGATAAATTTATGTATAACAGAAATTCTAGTCAAAAGTATGCAACAAGTTCAAGATGAAAAACCACAAACACAGTGATGTCACCCAAAGTGTAAGCATCCCAGCTCCCAAAACACCCTATCTCAAAGACTGCATATATTACATATAATTTCCATCTTGACACATAATATAAGAAAACAGTCAGGTTCATGTAGAAGGATGTAGCAATGAAGATTCCCACTGTCTACTTAACAAAGTTGCAGTCCAACATATTCCATGACAAGAGGAACACATGAAAACTACTAGCCCAACTTTTCCAGGAACAATCCTCATACAACTGCTTTTTTTCTTTCTGGCCTTTGTGGCCCTCAAAAAATGAGCAAACTAAAAGCATAATAAAACATGTATCCTTAGCTCCAGGGAACATTCTTGTTACTTGATGCAGAGACATGGCAAAGAAACTCATGGTATCCCCAGGCATCATTTGTCCACAGCAATATACTGATTTATGACAGAAGATTTCCTCATGTCTCTAGCTTTCTAAGACTATGGTCAGCATTCATGGCTCAAGTAACAAGAAATAAGTCCTTCAGCCATGATAACCTGACTGCTTTCAACTGTCTGTCCATAGTCTAAAATGTACAATCTTTCTGTCTATCTGTTTCCTGAATGTGCTTTACACATATGGTCTGTTTAGACTGCAAACAAAATGCATCAAGGATTGACTTCCTACATATAATTCTCTGTATATATCAGATACTTATCAAACAGGACCCCAGGAATTGTAGACAAAAAATAACAACAATCAGCACGACCTATTGTCTACTGATCCAAGGATTAACTGAGTAGGGCCTAATAGCAGAGGAATCCTACCCAAGGACTGTAGGCCTTGGGGGTGAAGGTAACTGTTTTATTTGCTAGTGGTCCTTAATCTGACAAACAATTACCTTGTAGCAATCTACTTCAATGAAAGCATTCATACATTAACCAACTACACACGTGGTTTGCTGAACTGGGGCTCAGAAGAAACAAATACTCCACGTCACCTGGTTAACAAAAGGATAAGCATGCCGGTTTCAGCTCTGGGAAATGCCATATTTAAAGAAACTCTCTCTTTCCTCTTACTTATATTGAGATGCAACAGTTTGGGGAGATTTGGTCATGATGACACAAGTTGTTTTTTACAACTATTTGCTAGTAAAGTTGCACATATGCAGCCACTGCAAGTTTAGAATACATCACAAGAACATTTCGAAACACATTGACTAAGCTGAATATAATACTATCTAGAAAAATAATAATGTTTTTGCTGAGTACTTTGTCCGTGAAAGCATGGGCATCTGAAGGAGTAAAAAACTGCTATCAAGCATTTGAAACAAAAATAGCACTCAGAGCAGTCCAAGTCACACACTTAACCAGAACCGCCAGTTAGGGAAGGGCATAAAGCAATTTGGTCAGGAACTTGACAGACCATCAGAAATACAGGCAAGCACATATATGCACACAAGACACTATTATGATGCAACTTTCTGCAGTATAAAATTACTCATTCAATCAGAAGAAACATCATTAGAACAATTTGTCAGCTACAGAGCTTCACATGAAAGCAGATGCAGAATTGCCTCACATGAAAGGAGATCTTTTTACATTGATGTAACTAGATATGCACCTGTGTAAACTGCTTGTGCAGACAAGCTCTCAGCCTTGTTGAACTTGAGCTGCCAGAAAGAGAGGCCAAGATTTTTGTTTGAACAGGAAACAGCTGGATTGGTGCGTTGTGTAACTTTTGGGTCTTGCGACTTGTCTCTTCTTACTAGATCAAACTGTTTCTACACTAACTCTTTGATACCTCTAGACCTCAAAATGCCTTCTATTTATTATATGAGAAGAGAAAGCCTATCTTAA